AATGAGCACAAAGCCCACCCCCACGTAAAATCAGGCTCAGCTTCGTAATTGAAAAAAAAACTGAACCATAATCGTAAATCTCAGGACTGAACGCAGAAGGGGAGGAGAAACGTAAACTCAGCCAAAACTTGTTTCATTTTGTTCTCCTTAATTAGTTTTTGCTTGCAGTTTTAGGTTTAGTCATATTTTTTATTTACTTAATTTGTTAATCTACAATTTATTTTTCCACGTTTAAAGTTTTTGGTTCGAATTTGCAATTTCATTTTTTAAATTTCCCTTTTTTTTTGTTGGAATTTACAATTTCTTTTTTCAAGTTTTCAATTTTCATTTGATTTTACAATTTTATTTTTCGAGTTTATGTTTATTTTTATTTTTTATTTTTTTTTACATGGAGCTGAGCCCATTTTGATGCCATAAACATAGATGATGTCCCGATTGAAACACCTTTGGTTCACGTGGTTATGACTGCCATATGCATCGCTAAGAAAACTATCCTCATAAATTGGAAAAATAGAGATACTCTTTGCATTAACCAGTATCTTCTCTGGTCTCCCTGGGGACCCTGCGCTCTGGGGTAGCTCCTGGATCTCTGGGGCTAGGAGCTCCCTCCATCTTCTGTACATCTTTGGGGCAGATCTGTGGCCCCTCACACTTACTCACACAGATACAACACGACGAGATGGATAAAAACGATTTTACTAAGGCTTTAAATGAGTTGGCACAGACGCGATATTGCAAAACAATACATCTTCTTTTAGGTTATGACCCATAGAGTTTTAAAAGCCACACTTCTTACACTGTGGAGGATTTACCCAGCACTGAAGCGACTGGCAACAAACTACCTTGTGTTTCCTTGCTCATTACACTGCAAACCAAAAGAAAGCATTTACAAGCCTGGAACCCTACAGCTACTTTATTTCAGGTTTTTAACCATTTAGTGATCTGGAGAAGCTTTAAATGACGATTGTCTTGTTTTTGCTCGGATAAGTACTGAGTTGTGTTACTTTTTCAATAACTCGTGGTAACAACGCTATTGCTAATGCTAACGATCAATATGTACTAGGATCTACTTGTATTAAAATTTTATGTCTTTTTAAATCCAAATTTCTGGTTGGTTTGTTTGATTTTAATAAAGTATAAATGCCATGTTACAACACTAAGCTAACTGCTAAAAGCATTAGCACTCTGACAGTGCTGAAGCGATTAGCAAAGCAAATTTGCTGCATAACTCATATTACACTGCAAACCAAATGACAACCTTTTACAAGCCTGGAAGCCTACAGCTATTTTATTTCAGGTTGGTTAACTTTTTAATGTTCCGGAGAAGCTTTAAATCACAGTCGACTTGTTTTTGCTTGGTGGTGAGTTGTGCCATTTTCTTCACTAGCTCATAATAATGATATCGCTAATGCTAACGTTGAGTATGTGCTGGGATCTACTTCTAACTTTATATGCCTTTTTAAATCCAAATTTCTGGCACATTTTTTTATTTTAATAATGTCTATACGCCACGTTACAGCTAACTCCCAAAATCCATAGCACTCTGAAAGCTATTTGCAGTGAGGTCTTGTGAAAACAGTGTAAAACTGTTAACCTGTCATTTTTATGGCTGTTTCTAAGCAAAACACTCAGTAATCTCTTACCCAGAGGCGGAGCTGGCCTAAATGGCGCCCTGTGCGAGATCCCCCTGTGGACCCCCCCCCCCCCCCCCCCCCCCCCACACACACACACACACACAAGAAAAAAAATTACACCTACAACTTTGTTTCAAATTGCGTGGAGTGTATTATATATAACAACGTTTGCTAACTGAATACAACATCCAGCTCCTGGCCACCTTCTCACCACTTGTCAAAGTTCTACTGAAATAGTGATGATGACAACACCTGCCATCACCTTCATTCCTGGGAAATATGAAAGTAGTTGGCACCTTAGTGGGTCCTCTTCGAACTAGCTCTGTGCGTATGCTATCGGTAATTGTTGATGGCCACTTGGCTGGGTCTGAAGATAGAGGCTCATCATCACCTTCAATGGGACTCATTGGTTGATCGTTCAGGCTTCTCTATTGACAGAAAACAGAAGCATAACTCAACACATTGCTATGTGGACCATTTCACATATTCTATTAAAATACAATATGTGACATTGAAATTTCTCTAATGTTTGCAGGACACACACACACACACACACACACTTGTGCAAAACTTACCTGACATATCTTGTTGGGGAGACGTGGCAGCTGGCTGTCCCTCATCAAGTTCACATATACTGGTAGGTCTCTCTATTGACAGAAAATGGAAGCATAACTCACCACATTGCTATATGGAACAATTCCCATATTCTGTGAAAATACTATTTAAATGTCTATAGCTAAATGTTTGCTGGACACACACACGTGTGCAAAACCCACCTAAAGTATCTTCCTGGGGAGATGTGGTGCCAGCAGACTGTCCCTCCTCGAGTTCAAATACTGGCCTACTGGTATGAGCAGTGGAGGTGGATGGCTGTTCCTCAGTGGCAGCTGATGTCATCCCAAAATATCTGTGTAGGGCTCCTGATGTTACATAAAACAAACAATACAATCTTCATGTCACGTCTGTTGCTTAAGCATTTTAATTAACATGTTACAATGAGCATTTACAGTTTTCAGCGGTGGTGGAAAGAATTCTGAAAATCTGTACTCAAGTACAAGTACTGTTACATTGCTAAAATATTACTCATTTACAAGTAAAAGTAATGGTGTTAGAGAAATACTCAAGTAAAAGTACAAATTATTCATAAAAACCTCAGAGTATTATTTATTTTTAATGGCTGATGTCACCATCACTTCTCCAGACTGGGGCTGCCTGGAAATTGTGTGTTTTCCTTTACCAAAAGTTAAAACACCAACAATCTATTAATCATTAATAATTAATAAGATAAAAAACAAGTGTTTTTCCCTAATATTTTTGTCATTTTAAGTTTTATTTCCTTATTCAGCAAATGTCTCCGGCAGACAAAAAACTAAATGACAAGAGGAGCCACGACTATTGATTAAATATCCATGAATCCATTTTAACTGGTTAAATTCTTCAACTCTCCCGCGCTGCTTCTTGGTCACTGTGAGTTTTTAACATAGCCGCAGTGTGCAGCACACGTAGCGCAACATGATGACATCATCGGCTTGTACAGTACAGATGTGCTGAAAGGCGTGAGTCTCAACTTTCAGCTAAAAAAAAGACCGCTCTAGCTATTATAGTTTTTATTTTATGGCAGTTTACAGCTTAAACGGGATCTTACTAGCAGGGCACCTCCAGCGGCCCGCTGCCGCTTCGTTTTTCATGGGGTAAATAATAGCTCATTTCCCGAGTCCAAAAAGAAAGGCGAATGGCGCAAGAAAGCAGGACAACCTGCCGTGGTGAATGATCAATACTAACATGAATGTATTTCAGCAAAATTCTCGAAGACTCATTTTTATTTGATAGCGTTTGGTTATCAGCCTTTCGGTTTTCCACTCTTAGCTTTTCATAAAAGCTCATTTGACAAAGAAAAAGCTAGCGGTTGGAAGTCGTTCTAAATACATGCAACGTAAGAAGCTAGCAACAGACATTTGAAAGGATCATCATAGCACCATTTAAAACGTACAGATTAGAAGTTAGTTAATCAATAAGTTGGGGGACAGGCGGGAAAAATACCAACTACATAATAAAGACATTCATACCTGCATCTTTTCCTCGTTTCTCCTCCTCTTCTCTTCTTTTTTTTTCTAAATTGGGCACCAGATGGCTTCGACCGTTTCTTCTCCATTATGTTTGTGAGTGGTGATATGTCAAACGGTACCTGTATCCCTCCACCATCAATCTCCGAGATCCCTCCTCCCCCACCTGATGAAGGGAGCTATAGAGCACACTATCCCACCCTGCATCCACAGAGGCGCGGCGGACACAAGGGGGCGCAATAAAATCACAATATAAACACAAACAATGACTTTGTTGTGCTTTTATTACAGAAATATTATTATTATCATCACTATTATTATTAACAACATGCGATTTCTATGTTTTGTTTATGTATTGGTTGATGCTAAAAAAAATTTTTTTGGAAGGAAAAAAAAAAGGGAAATTAAATGCCGCCCCCTGCAGACTGCCACCCTGTTCGGGTTGCACATATCAAGCTCCGCCCCTGCTCTTAACTGCTAGAAAGTGATCGCTGTTAACTCCAACATTGACCGTTTCAGCTCCTGTTTTAAGTTGAAGATTACTGATCCACTTCTGCCATCTTCTTTCAGTACATTTTTAATTTTAAGTCTTTTGTGGCGCCCTACATTTGGGACTTGAAAAAAAAACGTTTGTCTTTTACCTGATTTGAGTGATTGTAACAACCGTAGATCGCATAGAATTGACATTTTAATGTCCACTCACCAAAGTGAAAATTGTTTTGTGCAGCACCTGCTATTTCCGGACCGCCATCTGCATTTGGTGGCGTAGATGCAACGTCATGTGAAACCTAGCAATTGGTTAATTTATTCCAACCGTAAGAGCCCCGCCTCTTTTCCCATTTTTGGATTGTCTGGGCGTGATGGGACGTGCGACATGGCCAAAGTGGGAACCTCCATTTGGCATCAGAAACGGACATGAATTGTCCAGTATGTATGTCGATTGGTGGGACAGAAAACGAAGTAGTGGAATGGTTAAAATGCGCCATATCCGATCATAATAAATCCATTATCTTTGTGCACACTGAAACCTACAGTTGCTTTGTAGCTTTATGCTGTCGTGGGACCCACGCTGGAGTGTTTGCATCCAACCTGAGGGCCTCTTTTTGTTTTCTCAACAGTGAAGTTTCAACCTACCCTGCAAGGAGAGGCGGCAGTTTAAATGCAAAATGCTGTGACGAGCAGTAACATCAGCCAATAAAAATCAGGTTTGACATTCGAATGAGCCAATGGGAGTCAGGCAAAGCAGTAGTTATCCGCTCAGAAAGCTTGAAGGCGTGGCCTGTTCATGCGGACACGCCTCTTCATGCCTGTAGGGTTCGGTTGACCACAAGCTGCAGTTTCAGTTTGTTTTATTCACCATTTTGCGTAGCTGAGGGGGGGAAATAAGAATATTAGTGCTTGGTGGATACGACGTGAAACTTGTTTTAATTTTCACTGGCTAGCTTGGGCGGTGAAATCGTGCGTCAGCCGCGCGTCCTCGGTGTTTCGCAGAGCGGGAATCTGTTTGTGTTCAGCCCCTTTGTGCTTTTTTTTCTTCTCCCCGTTTTTTCTCTCATCTTCCTCTCTACAGTGTTCCAGCACAATGTCCAGACCCGTCAGGTAGGTGTGCTCAGTCCTTCTGCTCTGCCTCACACTAACGCTTGCGCGGAGCTGCTGGCGTGGCGGATAACACGCACGTTTCCACCATGTTGTGTTTAATGAGCCGCGATTGTGTTGATTTCATGAAAAAAAAGATGTGTAGGCGCAGTTTTCCCGTCTGGCGTGTGCAGCCTGTGTTTCCAACATGGATCCCAGCGGTGTGGACGGGTCGCCATGTCGGAGGAGGGAGCGCGCGCTCGCCCGCTTCGGAGCGGGTTCGTGATGAGCTTTGTTGCGGCTGCTGCGCAGGCCGAGTGGAAGATGTGTCGGTGTGATTTTTACGTTTCATTTAAAATGAGGCCAGACCACAATTTCTCTCCCCTCACGGAGGATGAGAACATGGCTACCCATTCATCCAGGGGAGGGTCCAAGCTGCTGCTAATACCCCCGCCGGGGCTGCCGCGCAGCCTGGGCATGTCAGCGTGTGGCGTTGGTTTTGCTGCGTGAACAGAAATGGTCGCACAAAGCCCGCGACAGTGCTGCTGAGCTAAAGGGAAGTCGTGGTTGAAGCGGCTGCATTTTAGCGCTGGCTGTAAGCGCGAGCCCTGCTGGCTGATGTCAGAGGAAGGCGGAGAGCTACGGGGAGCTCCACACCTCCTCCTACACTCCCGCCCCGCGGAGAGGTCAGGCTCTCCGGCTGAAAGTGACCCCCTCCTTCCGTTAGACGTGCCCCTCTTTGAGTTTTGAGTCCGTTTCTGTTGATATTAAACATTTCTGTTTTGTTGTGGGTGCGGAGTCAACCGATTACCCAATCCATGATGGCTGCCATGGCTTGTTGACTTTAGCAGCACGCTGAAATTCTGTTTACAGATCGGATATTTGGTGTCATGGTAGATAAGCGCCAGCTCCGAGCTGGTCACACTCCACATCTGCTCTAAAGTTCAGCTTTAACCCTCTGTAGTCAGCCCTGCCTGCATGCTGGCTACATGTGGACAGAGTCTAGAGCAGGGGTCACCCACTCCGGTCCTCCAGCGCTACCCGTCAGCATGTGTTGGGGGTTTCTTTGCTCCCACACACCAGGTTGAAATGAACGAGTATTTAACAGGCCTGCCAGAAGAGGTGTCGGTACAGGATCCGCTCGGGGTCATTCGACTGCCGATGACGTCAAAGTAGTTGATTGGCTGAACATGAATCTTACGGAAGTACGTAATCACTTTACGTTGTTATCACGTTACGTTGGTCCAGGCAAATCTTTCAGTTGGAAAGATGGACAACTTTTACAAAGAAATCCATCATTACCTCTTTGAAAATAGACTTTTAGCATAGAGCTGCATGTATATTAGGGCTGAACGATTAACTGCGTGTGCAATTAAATTACGATGTGACAAAAGGAGATTTTCTTCTGCAATTTGGCAGCGAGTGGTTAGCGCAATGCTAATATACATGGGAAAACCCATTGGAATGCTAATGCTAATATCACCGATTACATTCTTACAAATTATGAATTAGAAACGTGCCAAATGATTACATTTGGAGTCTAATAGAAAGTAAAACTACCATCAATCAAATAAGTACAGATGGGTATTTTAGTAAAGCCAGAAAACTTTTAACTCCAGAGTTTTGGCTAGCAGCTATGAGCGTAACTGAACTACGCATGGACAAGACGTCAAAAACTCTAAACACAAAATACTTCAATAAACGGGACACACTTCTTTCCTGCAAATACAATTTCACAGGTGTTGCTAATACCTATGATCCTTCAAGGGATGTGCTCAAAGAGGAGTTCAACATTATGAATACAATATAGTGTTTTATTTTACAAATACCATTATAAACACAAACTTGCGTTGTAAGAAACATTATTTTAATAACGACACTGCTAAATTCTTTCCAACAGTATAGATGTGTAGTGTATTTTGTCCGAGTGGGTTTGCCGTACTTTGACGTAGGGCTGCTCAATTAATCGAATTTTAATCACTATTACGAGTTTTGAACGATTATACAAACAAAACTGGCCGATTATTTGCTCCTCCCACTTGCGCTGCCCCGAGTTACAAATGAAGCGCTCCTCTGCAGTGTTGCCAACTTGTCGACTTTGACGCTATTTCTAACAGCTTTTCAGACCCCCTTCTTGACTTTTTAAATCGTAAAAGTACCTAGCGAACACCTCAGAAACATCTCTGGTAACCCTTAGCTACTTTCTGGATAACTGTCGTCGACATTTCCTGCAGGTTAGCTAAACACTCCGCCTGCTCTCCGGACCGTTCTTCAGGACATTAGGAAAGGGAATGATGTAGTGATGTGTCAGTCGCTAAAGAAACGGCTCTCGGAGCCGGCTCCATGTTGGAGTAACCAGAGTGAGTGACACACACACCGCACCTGCGGACTCCTGAGCCGCTAAAAGCGGCTAAATGTGCGTGTGCGGCACGCTAAACACACGCGCAGCTTGCCACTGGTTGCTGTGAGACCAGGCTGGGGGTGGGGGGTGCAGCTGTGGTTGGGACAATTATTACATTAACTGATGGACTTGTAAATAAATAGTTTATAAATAAGGTAGCCCTCAAGGACTGGAGTTGGTGACACCTGGTCTAGTGAATGTGCAGAAAGTAACCTTTACACACGCATGCACGACTGATTAACCTTTTGGCGTCAACTCAATCCAAGATGACCTCCACAGCCATCTGACCGTAAGAAAAATGAGCAGTCAAGGTTTTAGCATCTTGGGATTCCTCCCCAACACTGAACTTGTTTGAGCTTGGCCTAAACATTTTAACCTGCCTTCAAAAACCGGTAACATATTGTTCTAATGCAGCATGATATTTGTGAGCAATCAGGTAATTTTATCTCAGTTTGGAGAAAATGTTCAGTCCATTAAAATGAACATAATCATGGATTAGGTTCAAGTAATTACGTGGACATAACCCGAAGCATCTGATTATTAGGATTAAGGCAAATAATTTAAGACAGTATCCATAACTCCCAGCCTACAGGTGTTAGAAGTATCAACAGTAAAACGACATGATCTGTTTGTGAGGGTTTTCAGAAAGGCATTTATCTTAAAGGAACTTTACGGAGTTTTGAATTTTTATGCTCGCGATTGCCCCCTCAGGCCAAAAGCGTAACGGCAGCTTCAATAGGAGGCTCGTGCACGAGGTGCGCATGCTGTACGTGCACACTCCTTAACGAAAATAACAGCTGAGACAGTCAGCTGTGTGTGTGTGTGTGTGTGTGTGTGTGTGTGTGTGTGTGTGTGTGGCCCAGAGGACAGGAGAACGCGTAGCTAATTAATTAAATAATTTGGTTCTGTACCTTTCTCTTCAGCACAGCCGACAAAGGTTTATGATGGGTCAGTCCTCCTGCATGCTCAGATCATTCCCTTCCCTTGCTTGAAAAATTGTTCCAAAATGAAAGTTGAACCCACATCTTTTTTATCTGTGAATTCAATGCCGTTCGGCGAGTCTCAAATAAAAATGTGGGCATCTTACTGTAAAAAAATATACCATTAATGTAAAAAAGAAACTCTAAATAATGTATGTCCACATCCTGAATCGAGCCCAGGTCTTCTGCACTAAAGCCAGAAGCCTTACTAGGTGAGCTAAAGCGCCAGTGGCGTTTCCTGTATCTGTAACATTTATATGCTTGATGACAGCTGAAACAACGTCCAAAGAACGGTTCGGGGGGCGATGCCTGAGCGTGAACGCGCATGAAGCAGCCTGCTCGACCCGAGCATCTCTCTTTTTCTGTGATTTTACAGAAAAACAGGCAATCACAGTAAAAATGCCAGGGCTCATTCTACAGGACCAGGGCATTGCAGGAGAACGTATGAAGAAGACATTTATTATTTCTATACATGTTTTGGCTGTCACACTTCCATAATGTCCCTTTAAGAACCACTGTAGCATTATGGTTAAAGCCGTGATTGTTTGTTTTTTACCTGATTCAACTCTTCTGGTTTTATTCAGCAAATGAGTAACAGGCTTCTGCAGAACTTTATGAGATGCTGAACAGGTTAATCAAGTGTGTTGGAGCAGGGAAACAACAAAAACATGCGGGATACCGGCCCACTGTGGTTAAGAGCTACCCTCTCAGCTGGAGTAAAATCCAGCAATTGGCCCATAGGTCAAAAACGCTGCCGCCAGTTCTCACTTGTTGCTAGGGATGCGCTGAAATTAAAATTCTTGGCCAAGAACCATAAACGAGCAAATAAGGCCGAAACACCAAAATAAATGATTATGTCAGTAGTTAGGACCATAGCATTTATAACATTGTGTACTAACCTCACTAAAGTCATGAGATCAAAGGAATGCACAAATGAAGTTTGCAGTGGTTCCCAAGTTAAGATTTTTCAGTCACATCCCTCTGAGTTCCTCATCTCTGGGGAGGCGGTGAAAGCTGCACTCATGCTGACAGATTAGCTAATTCTAGCTGGTAGCATTCTCGCGATCCACTGGGGTCCGAAAAAGCACGATGGTCACAAAACTATGAATATCTAAACTCTACAAGCGGAAGAAAAGTCCCCAACATCCAATTTATTCTTAGCTGTCTGCAGCGCTATGGGTCAGAACCGCTGCAGTCAGGTTGCTGCTTTAAGTCTCTGCTCAACAGCACTGCAGAATTGTGGCAAGCCACTGTAGCATGTAATTCACAAACATGTATATCTTTGAAAATATTTTACGTTGGATTATTTATCATTTCTAATCATGTTCTGTTGTTAAAGTAAAAGGAGACAAAAAAATTCTTAACAGTTTTCAATTTTTCCCGATTAATCGTGTCGAGACCCCTTTCGATTAATCGATTATACAAATAAGCATTTGTTGCAGCCCTATTGGCTACTCTACCCAGCCCCACCTATGGATCAAGGGCGCCCAAACAGTTTCCCTCAGTGGGACAAAATAAAATAAATAAAATTGTCCTTGATTTGTGTCCTTCCAGTGAGTTTTGCAGATATGGGAAAATGTCAGACAGTAGTCATTGTTAATTTCATTATAATCTATTGCATTGGCGACTAACTCTTATCTGCCCCCTGGGAGCCCCGTAAAGCATGTCATAATTTCAATTTGGGGGTGTCCACGACACGGTTTATACGCTGGCAGTGGGCGCTGCAACTGCACTATAGGGGACCTGTTGCATTTTACCTCAACCGAAAGTCCTCACATCATGCATTTTAGCTAAACCGCTAACGTTAACTAACTTGTCTTGCATTGACTGTAGAGATGTGGGTGATGGTGACGCAGATGTGTCATGAGATGTGCCGCTGCCTTTCGCAGACATTTTGAAAACAAGATTAGGGCAGGGTACCTCACGATGCGGCGATACTGCACAAGTTAGCCTACACAGTGCATAACCTTTTAACTTTATTTGCCCTAAAATTATTAAAATAGTCAGTAAATAGCTGCAGGCAGACATTTCTGCAGTAAAGAAACCATAAAAAATGTTTTGTTTCACCAACAGCAATGAGTTCTCTCCTTTAGTCCTGGTCTATCTGTACATAGCAGAAATCGTTTTGTCAGTGAAATGTCTGTGGCTTGTTAGGATGTGCATCATAAAGCTAAATCTGTTGTTCGCAACAGTGCTGTGTGGGCAAAGAGATTAAAGCCTAGTTCATGCTTCTGCGTCAGCTCCACAAGGGAGAGATGCACACGCAGTGACAAACTTCTTCAAGCTGTCCTGGGTCTGTCGCTGAATATCTTTGGCTTTCTTTATGTTTTTGAGAACGCAATGGCGATGCTGTTAACGAAAGCGGCCAGTCACAAGCTTGCGTTCTACGTCTCGTTTGACAGATGTTTCGAAAATTGGGTTAGACTCCGTCCGTTAATGGCATTGCGTGTCTCCGTACAGACGCAGAAGCATACACTAGTTTTTGGAAAAAGATGTACACGGAGATGCCATGTGTTATCAGTAGGGCTGCAACAAATGATTATTTGGATAATCGATTAATCGGATGGGGTCTCGACACGATTCATCGATTAATCGGATTACATAGGGACATTTTAAAAAACTGCTAGGGAAACGTTATTTCTCTCCTTCCTTCACTTTATAAAACACAACATTATTAGAAAACAGTTCAATAGCAGAAAAACAACATGCCATCACCTAAATTGTCTTATAAGGTGTATAGACAGAGACCCTAAGCTACACCTACTGTATCTGTGACCTAAAATGCTCGGTCCAAGTTAAACAGCTTAAGGGCAATTCTCATCTGTTTTGTTTGATCTCATCTGTAGACATTTATTATAATTGGGGATGTCAAACAACTAATTTTTAAATGTAATCAAACATTGGCTGTGAATTAATCAAAATTGATCACTATTTCCAAAAATGACTGAAAAAATACCAAATAAAACAAAAGTAAATGAATGCCATCCTCCTTGCGATGATGCCCTGGGCAACTGCCATAAAGTCACATCAAGAAATGCTGCTGATCATTCCAATGATCCTAAATAGACTCACATTAGGCCACATGAAAGCAACTGAACCCAAAAATATATTAACCAGTATATAACTGCACTCTCACACAACACGCCTGCAGCAACAGTTAGGACTCCTCCCTCCCTTTTAAAAGCGTTTTCGCTTCTGAGGACATTGTGGTTGTAAAGCCACATGCTAGTAGTCTGGCCCCGGTGTGATCAACCAGTTTCTGCGGGAATGTGACGGCAGAACCGGTTTGCAGCAGCGCGGCCCCCCACCCCCCGCCTATCTAATAGCGTTGCGCTTACGATTTTATAGACTTTTTTAACGAGCTTAGGGCATGTCTAGCCTGTGTAATAATCCGGGGCTTGGGTGAATCACTTTTGAAGAGTTTTTAACTTACCTGGACACCGAGCTCTCTCCTTCCTCGCTGATGATTCTGACATGCTTGCGTTTAAGATGCTGCATCATCACCGTAGTACTCCCGTGCCATGCTAAGTCTGACCTACAAACGTTGCAGGTAACGAATGTCTTCGCCTGATTTAACTGAAAATGCTCCCAAACTTTAGAAGTTTTTACTTTTTTTGGGGTCTCACTGCTTCTGCCATGTTCCTCTTCCAAACACCTGCCGGCTCTCCGGTCTGCGTGCAACGGCGGGCGGGAGGGGAGGGGGCTTTTGGAAGAGTTGCGCAACACAACGAATCGATGACGCAATTCGTTGCCAACGCTTTTAGTAATCGATTTTCATCGAATTCATCGATTCGTTGTTGCAGCCCTAGTTATCAGCAAAACTTCAGTTGAATTAAAAGGGAGCATTGCCTGAAAATAGTAACGCCGGGCTGTGCAGTCAAGCTAACAGGTACCGCATTTTCTGTGAATGTTCGTAGTGTACCTTTTGTGAGGCAGTTCTTGCTCGTGGCATAGTCTTCCTCTAGCTTTGTTCCATCCACACAAATAATCCAAAGCGAGCCCAAACTTTAGGACTTGCTGGTAAATCTTTCAATACCTTTCTTTCCCCGCTGTGCCACTCCGACATATTGTCCCTGGTGTTCTTCTTCGCCAGGTGTTTTTGCTCATTCTCCCGAGGAGCACCTCCTTATGGACTTCTGCAGTAGTGGTTTTAAAAAAAGATTTAGGGAGAGAGTGTACTGGTACTCATTTTTGAGTTGAAATATTGCAGTAACTTAAGCAGATGAGACGGGGGCCGGTGAGGGTCACTTCGCCTTAACCGCGGCCACGGTAATACACCGAGATAATAGGGCTGGGCAATTAATCGAAAATTTATCATGATCAAAATTTCTTACCCTTATCGAGATAATTTCTCCCATGTCAAAACATTTGATAATTTAAAAAAATGAAAAGATGTGTGTAGGTTGGCGACATTCATGTCCTTTTGAAATGTGACTCAACATAACGCATGTGACAGCCCCATCTAGTGGACAGCTTTTGTTTCTGCGCACACCTGTAGCTATGGTCCATTTATCGTTATAGAGGTGAAATCCTCAATACATCGTGATACTGATTTTAAGCCATATCGCCCAGCCCTGCGAGTTTTTAAAAGGTGGTAATTGTTGTCAAGATAGTTACCGGGGTTTACCGGTAACCGTGGCATACCTAGTCGACACAACAGATCCCACCTTCTCACCGGATGTTTCATCAAAAGAAAAATGAAAGATAGGGTAGAGTAGTCCACTTCTTAACTTTTTCAACAGAATCACTCGTAGAAGAGCATTTCCTAGCATGACTAATCGGCAAGAACTGGAACAACCTCTTCCGCCCATTACCTAACATTAACTATTGAAAACGTTACAATGCGTCTGGGGTAGTTTGGTCACTCCAGCTCTCCACAGCTGCTTCATGATTACAACTACTTTGTTTAAATTAAACTATCGATAACTTTGAGTACCGCTATGCTGTCACGTTCTGCCCAGCCTCTGGAGGTCACATAAAGCTTTATTAGTCAGCCTGCCCATGCCCAGCAGTATTAGGTGATGTTGGTTTGTAATGTGTGTGTGTGTGTGTGTCTTCACAGGAATAGGAAAGTGGTGAACTATTCACAATTCAATGAGTCGGATGATGCAGGTAAGAAAACCATTAAAAGTCTGATTGTAAACCTAATGTAATGTAAGACTGACTTGGACTTTGTCATTACATCAGCGGGGCTATAGACTAACCCTTTCCACATGCCTTAGTGCATGCACAGGGACAGCTGGGGTGGAATGCTACGCTAACCACTTAGCTTTCTTATCTCAAACGTTCTAGCTCCACTCTGTTTACCTGACTAGCATAGCCACGCCTCTTTCTCTTCAGTTGCTTCACTTACAAACATGTTGATCTTGTGCTACACTCAGTGAGTTTACATTCAGTAAGAGAAAACAAAGTTCTTGCCTTAATCCGACTTAAGTTGGACTTCTTAAGTGCATTGTTGGCACCTTAGTCTGGCTGAAGCCTAACCAAACTGCACCACTCCTAATCGAGGTAAGGCACCCAGGTAATGTGTTTAAAACCAATGGCCCAGGTTGGTCGAGCTATTGCTGGGTTTCACATGAAGTTACATCGGTGTCACTAAATGCAGATGGGAGTCCGGAAGTAGAACACTATTTACTTTGGTACCAGGGCGTTAAGATGCCTAAAGTCTAGGCGCTCTACAGTATCATCATCATCACTCTAATCAGGACAAACACAAACAGTTTTTTTAAAGTCCTGATTGTATTAGTTGAGTCACATTTTTACATGACTCAAGGTGGTACAGCTTCTTAAAGGAACATGAACGCTGCCAACAAACACATCTTTTCATTTCTTTAGTATCTAATTAGTTGACACGGGAAAAATTACCGTGGTAAGACTCAGAAATTACGATAACGATACATTTTTGGTTTATTGCCCAGCCCTAGTTACAGGTAGATCCTTGCACACACTCATCGTTAGCCTTAGCGATGGCATTATTATCATGTGCTAAGGAATAAAATAGCACAACTCACTACCGGCAAAAACAAGACGATCATCATTTACAGCTTCTTCTTAACCATCCTGAGATGAAACAGCTGTAGGCTTCCAGGCTTTCGTTTGGTTTGCAGTGAGGCGTGCAGCAAATGGTCTTTTTTTTGCCGATCGTTTCAGCGCTGGCTAAATTCTCCACAGTGTTAGAAAAGTCTGACTTTGAAAACTATACGATATCACGTCTGTGCCAGCTCACTTACGGCTTTAGTACAGTCACTTTCACCCATCATCGCTCGGTGGTTTGTTGTGGAGCAGAACCCCTCCCACCCCCATTTGAGTTTGCAGAGTCACGTGAGTGAAACCCAGCAATGACCGGTCTGGTCACTCCCCCTTAAGGAAGAATTTGACGTGGAACACCATAAGACAGATGGAGAAGGGAGGTGCTCAATTTGACAGGAAAACATTTCGGAACAGCAGGAAATTCTATTTAATGTGAAGTTAGATGTTACTGTTCTCATTATGACTTCAGGCTTGTTAACCACGATAACCGTGGGTTTCCTTGTCCTGCCTCTGAGCTTCTGGATGGCTCCTCACTGCCTGTGTCTGTCCCTTTAGACGAGTACGGGGATGACAAGCCTAAGAAGGTGCGCCCAGCCCCTCGTGAGCCTAAACACAAGCGATCAAAGAACTCGCAGGATGAAAGGTTGGTGCTGGTTTCTGATCTGATCAGTCACATTGCAGAGCTAGAATACACCCTGTGCATCAGCAGCAGCTTCTGGAACAGACCAGGACTAGTGCAGATGTGAGGATTTTGTTGTGCAGAGCCTGTCAGGTTCTAGGGTAGGGACCAGAACAGAGCCAGTTACGGGTTACAGTCTGTGTGGATCACACACTGACCTTCTCATAATTCTAAACACAGTGTTGTTCTTTCTTCTAGTGAGGATTCTGATGAGAAGCTCTCCAAATCCAAAAACGACTCGGCAGGTAAGGTGGACTGTTTAAATCAAGATTTGGTTCCACTTGAAGCCAAAGTGCCGACTCCCTGAGTTCTGTGTCATGCTACAGATGACTTTGGCAGCGATGAAGAAGACAATGATTTTGGAGAGGAGGAGGATGAAGATGGTGGAAGTGACTATGAAGAAGAAAGAGGGAAAAAGGGAAAGAAAGCCAAGGCTGAGACACCCAGCAAGAGAGGCCCCAAGAGAAAACGGGCTGCAGGTAACTGTCGCAGAATTGCTTTGAGTCATAATGGGTGTGACGAAATTCACAATAAAAAGCAAAGTAGGGCTGCCACAAACAAATAGTTTAGTAGATGACTAATCGCCAGTTTTGTTGAAGATTGGTCAACTAATCTTGTCATGCACAAAAGTTTAGCTTATTCAGGGTGTCCGCGGGGTTTTAAAAAGTATTAAAAAGTGATAAATAAAAACAGTCAAATTTAAGGCCATTAAAAGTGTTAAATTTGGTCTCAGAGGTATTATTTTTTCCAAATTAGGTATTATTCTTTTCAGACTATCAGATGTCGTATTCTGAACATCGACATAGAAATATATTCCGAATGAAATGTTTTGAACGATTATAAAAATAAAACAAGCCGATTATTTGCTCCTCCCACTTGCGCTGCCCTGAGTTGCAAATGAAGCGCTCCTCCCAGTGTTGCCAACTTAGCGACTTTGACGCTATTTCCAACAGCTTCTCAGACCCCCTTCTTGACTTTTTAAATCTAAAAGTACCTAGCGAACATCTCAGAAACATCTCTGGTAACCCTTAGCTACTTTCTGGATAACTGTCGTCGACATTTCCTGCAGGTTAGCTAAACACTCCGCCTGCTCTCCGGACCGTTCTTCACAACATTAGGAAAGGGAATGATGTAGTGATGTGTCAGTCGCTAAAGAAACGGCTCTCAGAGCCGGCTCCCTGTTGGAGTAACCAGAGTGAGTGACACACACACCGCACCTGCGGACTCCTGAGCCGATAAAAACGGCTAAATGTGCGTGTGCGGCGTGCTAAACACACGTGCAGCTTGCCCCTGATTGCCGTGAGACCGGGTTGGGGGGTGGGGGGTGCAGCTGTGGTTGGGACAATTATTACATTAACTGATGGACTTGTAAATAAATAGTTTATAAATAAGGTAGAAATAAGTTCCTCACGCTGATAAATAACTAACCTCTCTGAGGACACGGTGCTAGTGCACTCTCCTACAGCACCTTGACATGACTCAATAAATGCTATGCAGCATTTAGTGAACATCAATTTGCATGTATTTGTTATAAATGCCACAGTATAATTCTTGCTGTCAGTATTTGCAAGATATTGGTATTTGGGTCTGTACTAGTTAGACTTAAATGAGTTAAACCAAGGTCTATAGCCCTTGGGTCATAAACTATGAGCTATAAGTATATTGGTCTTTTTATACTGGGAATCAGGAGTTATTTTGGTGATCATCTTGTTTCTTATTTATATTTGTCCTGATTGCGCCCTGATCAATTTTATGACTGAATAAAAAAAATCTACATAAATTGAAAAATCGTCTTAAATAATCGAGATCTCAATTTCAGTCACAATAATCGTGATTATTGTTTTTGCCATAATCGAGCAGCCCTACTTTAGCATATCCGGTCACATAATGATGACGTCATATTCAGTGGTCGTTGTGCATCATTTCAGACCTCGTGGTCAACTGTCTGAACCGCTGAAAAGAAGTGCCTGGCTTATTTTCTAAGTAAAATAAATATGTGCAATACGTTGTCAACATCAGTGAGTCTCTACGTCTATTCTTTTTGTATGTTATATATGTTAAAATACGTGTAAATAGGTCGCTGATTAACACTTGCAATTTAGTGTTGTGATGGTTTTAAAAAAATTCTGAAGGTAGTAAAAAAAGTATTAAAAAGTAGTAAATTTTACTTAAGGATTGCTGTATATACCCTGTTATTGCACCAGGATGCTCTAATATACCCATTGGGGTGTAACGGTAGACAAAAATCATATTTGCTTTGGTTTGCTTGGTTTTGAAGAGTTCGGTGTGATTAATTTTTGGTATGTTATTATTATATTTATTTATTTATTTATTATCTGAAGCGGCTCCTATAGTGAGCAGAACCAGGTGTCACCACAGGCTGCTGATCTAACGTCTTTAATTATTTTACAGGTTGTTTGTCCAGCTATGAGTGTCACGCTCACACAGAGTGTTGTGTTTGACTGTTGGTGCTCCGTGTTTTTATTTCTGCAGCGAGCCTTAACCCTCGGGCTCTTAAGTAAGTTTTGATAAACGGATGAACAACTAAGTCCTTCAGGGGTACTTCTGAGTTAAAAACTGCTCATGAAATATATATGTGGAGCAACAAGGTAGGTAGGGTTTAACGTTACTAATCTGCAACGCCTGCCTCCAGAGGGTTAAAATCTCACCTCACACCACCCATGGTTTCGTCTTTAAAACTTGTATTAAATAACAAACTGCCTCTGTGCCATGTTGTTCGTTGTTGTATGAAAACTTTACATCAATTCTCCCGGAGCGAAAGTTCAGCAGAAGTGTTATTTACATTTTTGCCGCTGTGTGCCTGCACAGTGTGAGAGAAGGCCGGGAGGGACGACACACCGCTCTATTCAGCGTCTCTACGGGCTTCAGTAGTACTTCGTTCAGCGTCTCTACGGGCTTCAGTAGCAGCTCCGTTCTGCGTCTCTACGGGTTTCAGTAGCAGCTCCGTTCAGCGTCTCTACGGGCTTCAGTAGTAGCTTCATTCAGCGTCTTTACGGGCTTCAGTAGCAGCTCCGTTCAGCGTCTTTACGGGCTTCAGTAGCAGCTCCGTTCAGCGTCTCTACGGGCTTCAGTAGTACTTCGTTCAGCATCTCTACGGGCTTCAGTAGCAGCTCCGTTCAGCGTCTCTACGGGCTTCAGTAGCAGCTCCGTTCAGCGTCTCTACGGGCTTCAGTAGCAGCTCCGTTCAGCGTCTCTACGGGCTTCAGTAGCAGCTCCGTTCAGCGTCTCTACGGGCTTCAGTAGCAGCTCCGTTCAGCGTCTCTATGGTCTTCAGTAGTAGCTTCATTCAGCGTCTTTACGGGCTTCAGTAGCAGCTCCGTTCAGCGTCTCTACGGGCTTCAGTAGCAGCTCCGTTCAGCGTCTCTACGGGCTTCAGTAGTAACTTCATTCAGCGTCTTTACGGGCTTCAGTAGCAGCTCCGTTCAGCGTCTCTACGGGCTTCAGTAGCAGCTCCGTTCAGCGTCTCTACGGGCTTCAGTAGCAGCTCCGTTCAGCGTCTCTACGGGCTTCAGTAGTACTTCGTTCAGTGTCTTTACGGGCTTCAGTAGCAGCTCCGTTCAGCGTCTTTACGGGCTTCAGTAGTACTTCATTCAGCGTCTTTACGGGCTTCAGTAGTGGCTTCGTTCAGCATCTCTACGGGCTTCAGTAGCGGTGACAGCCAGCGTCTCTACGGGCTTCAGTAGCGGTGACAGCCAGCGTCTCTACGGGCTTCAGTAGTACTTCGTTCAGTGTCTTTACGGGCTTCAGTAGCAGCTCCGTTCAGCGTCTTTACGGGCTTCAGTAGCAGCTCCGTTCAGCGTCTCTACGGGCTTCAGTAGTACTTCGTTCAGCGTCTCTATGGGCTTCAGTAGTACTTCGTTCAGCGTCTCTACGGGCTTCAGTAGCAGCTCCGTTCTGCGTCTCTACGGGCTTCAGTAGCAGCTCCGTTCAGCGTCTCTACGGGCTTCAGTAGTAGCTTCATTCAGCGTCTTTACGGGCTTCAGTAGCAGCTCCGTTCAGCGTCTTTACGGGCTTCAGTAGTACTTCGTTCAGCGTCTCTACGGGCTTCAGTAGCAGCTCCGTTCAGCGTCTCTACGGGCTTCAGTAGCAGCTCCGTTCAGCGTCTCTACGGGCTTCAGTAGCAGCTCCGTTCAGCGTCTCTACGGGCTTCAGTAGCAGCTCCGTTCAGCGTCTCTACGGGCTTCAGTAGCAGCTCCGTTCAGCGTTTCTACGGGCTTCAGTAGTACTTCGTTCAGCGTCTCTACGGGCTTCAGTAGCAGCTCCGTTCAGCGTCTCTACGGGCTTCAGTAGCAGCTCCGTTCAGCGTCTCTACGGGCTTCAGTAGCAGCTCCGTTCAGCGTCTCTACGGGCTTCAGTAGCAGCTCCGTTCAGCGTCTCTACGGGCTTCAGTAGCAGCTCCGTTCAGCGTCTCTATGGGCTTCAGTAGTAGCTTCATTCAGCGTCTTTACGGGCTTCAGTAGCAGCTCCGTTCAGCGTCTCTACGGGCTTCAGTAGCAGCTCCGTTCAGCGTCTCTACGGGCTTCAGTAGTAGCTTCGTTCAGCGTCTTTACGGGCTTCAGTAGCAGCTCCGTTCAGCGTCTCTACGGGCTTCAGTAGCAGCTCCGTTCAGCGTCTCTACGGGCTTCAGTAGCAGCTCCGTTCAGCGTCTCTACGGGCTTCAGTAGTACTTCGTTCAGTGTCTTTACGGGCTTCAGTAGCAGCTCCGTTCAGCGTCTTTACGGGCTTCAGTAGTACTTCGTTCAGCGTCTTTACGGGCTTCAGTAGTGGCTTCGTTCAGTATCTCTACGGGCTTCAGTAGCGGTGACAGCCAGCGTCTCTACGGGCTTCGGTAGCAGCTCCGTTCAGCGTCTCTACGGGCTTCAGTAGCAGCTCCGTTCAGCGTCTCTACGGGCTTCAGTAGTAGCTTCATTCAGCGTCTTTACGGGCTTCAGTAGCAGCTCCGTTCAGCGTCTTTACGGGCTTCAGTAGCAGCTCCGTTCAGCGTCTCTACGGGCTTCAGTAGTACTTCGTTCAGCATCTCTACGGGCTTCAGTAGCAGCTCCGTTCAGCGTCTCTACGGGCTTCAGTAGCAGCTCCGTTCAGCGTCTCTACGGGCTTCAGTAGCAGCTCCGTTCAGCGTCTGTACGGGCTTCAGTAGCAGCTCCGTTCAGCGTCTCTATGGTCTTCAGTAGTAGCTTCATTCAGCGTCTTTACGGGCTTCAGTAGCAGCTCCGTTCAGCGTCTCTACGGGCTTCAGTAGCAGCTCCGTTCAGCGTCTCTACGGGCTTCAGTAGTAGCTTCATTCAGCGTCTTTACGGGCTTCAGTAGCAGCTCCGTTCAGCGTCTCTACGGGCTTCAGTAGCAGCTCCGTTCAGCGTCTCTACGGGCTTCAGTAGCAGCTCCGTTCAGCGTCTCTACGGGCTTCAGTAGTACTTCGTTCAGTGTCTTTACGGGCTTCAGTAGCAGCTCCGTTCAGCGT